ATTTTAAATTGATTTATTTGAGACATAATTATTTGGATTTCACTACACACATAAAAGTATAATTGTTTTTATGCTTTAAATTTTAAATTTTGTTTTTTAATTGACGTAATTATAGTTCTAGAATACTGTTACTATTGTTATGATCCCTCATAAAGTTGATCATGATGAACTGAAGTAACACTATGGATTTATATTCATGTTTATGCTTTCATAATGATGCATGTTGACTGTTAGCAGGAAGTCAACAAGAACAACACATTGTAAGACCACAGCATTTCAGACTATAGCCAGTAGAGACAAGATGAAACCATCAAACTATATCTGCGGTGTTACTTTTGTGTGGTGCCTTGTAGCTCAAGTAGGAGAAGGACAAACACCACCTTCTATGCTACCTATCAATGGTAAGTGTAAAAATGTGTTGCTGGTTACATATTATTATGCTAGGTGTTCGACTGTACCTAGCTTATGAGGACAGGATAATACCTGATTACTCTATGATATATGCTAGCCAGTTTTATGATAATGATGACGGTATTAATGATGCTTTGTGGTGTCAGAGTGCTAGCAATAGTACTAATATTGGAGTGTGGTATTATCCTAATGGAACTGAAGTACCTTTATTTGATAGACCCTTTGGTAATGCAGCTCCTAGTCCAGTGTTCAGTAAGAGATTCAGTGGTCAGATTGCACTAGCTAGAAGTGGTGGACTATCAGGATATGAAGGTTTATACAAGTGTATCATTCCTGATGAGAATGGAGTGGATCAAACACTAGTGGTTGGAGCATATACTGATACTGGATACAATAACAATGGTATGTAATGAATATAGACTATAATTAATGTACTTCTTTTACAGATGGTCCTAATGCTGATCCTACTATGCAGTTTTCTCTCCTCTCCACTAGTAGATTAGCTACTTCTCCAGTCTTCAGTCTCAGTTTCAATGTCTCTAATGGTCCTCCTACTACTGTCAGTTGTTTAGTGAATGGGACTGGAATATCTACTGAACTGTCTCGTGTGATAGTGAATGGATCAGGATCTGTTACAAGAGTGACAGTAACAAACTTAACTGAAGCTGGTAACTATCAATGTATTGTATCTAATGCCAGAGTAACTAATGAACCTTTAAGTGACGTTAGTGATAATAACCCTCTGACTGCAGTTACTAATACTTCATCATTGAATGTATCAGGTTTGTGATTATTATTACTGATATACTATGGATTATTATATTTTAAGTATCTGATACTCCATCTGGTTTAACTGCTGCAAGATTAAGTACTGGTTTAGTTCAAGTAAGACTCTCCTGGTCTACTGTATCAGGAGCTACTGGTTATGAAGTCTACTATCAACTGTCTAGTAATACTCCTGTTAGTCTATCCAACACTAGTTTAACAGTAATCAATGTATTAGCATCATTGCTTCGAGAGAGTACATACACTTTCTATGTAGTATCTTATGGATCAGCTTCTCTACCTAGTGGTAATGCTTCCGTCATGTTAACAATTAGTAAGTTATTATTTCCCTTGTGTAAAAATATGTCATATTTTTTATTCTTTAGGTGATCCGGTGGTTAATGATTTTATGGCTACAGAAATTACAAGTACTGGAATTACATTAGCATGGAGTCCACCAACTGCTGTAGCACCAATTAGTTATAATATTAATAGGAGATGTAGGAGAGTATGTGAATCATCATTCACTAGTAATAATGAAACATCAGTTTCATCTCCACATACTTCAACTGGTATACCTCCTTACAGTCAATGTGGCTTTGATCTTATTGGAGTATATGGAGCTGAGATAGCTAATTTGAAAAATAACTATTTAGCTTCTACACTTTTAACTGGTGAGTAATCAATTTTTAATTTTGTTATTATTGCTTTTTTTGTATAGCCCCTACTGCACTAGTGAGTGATATTATATTCTCATCAGTAGAGTCAGTGTCAATGACTGTCTCATGGGATGAAGTACCTTGCAATAGAAGGAATGGACCAATCACTGGATACTACCTCACATACACTAACATCACTTCAAACACTAGTTATACTGTTAATATCACTGGAGGAGACAACAGAATGTATAATCTCACAGGATTAATACCATATACTAACTATACTGTGAGTATAATACCTTATAATTATAATATGAATGGACCAGCTAGACAAGAAATACAATTAACTCCTGAATCAAGTAAGTCAATGAGATATTGATCAGTTTAACATGATTTTAACACAGTCCCTGGTGTGATATCTGATCTAAGAGGTTCAATGCCACCAACTGAAATAACTATTGCATGGAATCCTCCTGCAATACCTAATGGTATCATTACAGTATATGAGATAAGATATAGAGAGTCTACCAGTACTGGTCCATACAATATAACTAACACTACTAACACTTATTACAGTATAGTAGGATTGATACCTAACACTAGTTATACTATTGAAGTGAGAGCATATACTAGTACTGGACCAGGAGAATGGACTGATAAAGAATACACTACTATTGAAATACGTAAGAAATTACTGAAAATACTATGATGATAATGTTTTAAAATTTTTAGCCGTCATTGAAACCTTTTTTATAACAAAGCTCAATTCTACAGCAGTGAAGGCTGAGTGGAGTTTTGTTTCTGGAGCTAGTCATTATACTGTCTATTATGAGTCAACCAGTAGCTCCTCAAGAAAGAAGAGACAAGTAGAGACAGGAATGAGAGTATTCCCAGGTGGTACTTCTGAAGGTCTAATAGGAGGATTAGATCCTAATCTGAACTACTTGTTCTTTATATCTACATCATTTACTGTTAATGGAATCATTTATGAA